TTATGAGCAATTATATTGTCTGTAATTTTTTTACACTGTATGAGATAAAAGAGATGATTCGAAAATTTGTACAATAGTTTAAAAATTCGATATTTGAGCAGCTCTCATTTCAAGAATTTTTATTACCCAAAGTTTTCGTTGTCCCTTTTATCAGATATACATACCCTCCCATCTTCCATTAGAGCATACTCATCATGCTCCTTCTTCATGAGATATTTCAGCACATTACTGTGACCCTCGGATGCGGCGAACCAGATCGGTGCGTAACCGAGATTCGTCTTGATTTTTGGAGACCCGCCACTTTCCACAAGCAGCTTCACAACATCTAGATGGCCGGCGTGTGCCGCACAATGCAGCGGTGTCCAACCGTTCTTGTCGGTCGCGTTTATTTCCGCTTGCTGACCCAAGAGGGCCTTCACCATCTGGTAATGTCCGTGTGTCGCGGCGATGTGCAGCCCGGTCTTGCCGTAACGATCCGAACTATGCAACAATTCCGCCGATCTGCTCAACAGCAGACCCACGACAGTTATGTGACCACCGAAGCAAGCCAGATGCAAAGGGTTCCAGCCGTTTTCTTTCGTTGCTGCATCTACCTTCAGTCAGGACGTTCTTATGTTCAATGCGACATTATTAGTCCGTTTTTTAACAGCTTGAGAAAACAAATGTAAAATTGTAACTTAAATTTATTAACTTAATTCTCCCGAAATAAAAAAAGCATGTTAGTATAGCACATTGAATTTATTAATTTTTCTTAACTAGTTGCCGCGATATAATCTCAATTTACGATATACCTATATGTAAGCGTTCTCTAATTTTTGCCAAAATCACTGTTTTAAAGCATGTACTTTTTATAAATATTTCTTACATATAGACGGAGTTTTATCCGAGTTTTTATAATGTCATAAATTATGATTGACTAAATCCAAATATCATTACTAATGAAATTACCGGCGAAGTAGTCATACCTGGACACCCGTTGAATTAAGAAGAAATTGTATAACTTTTTCATTTCCAGAATAAGCAGCCAGATGAAGAGAAGTCATGCCAGATTCAACCCCTAACTCTCCTACCAAGAATCCTCCAATTGGTGAATCGGATTTCACGTTTTTGGGTATGTGAGTTAGCAGTTTTCTAACCATATCTAAAATCAAACCGAATAGGGTAACTGTTCCTATTAGTGTGCTTTTATATTTAAATATGTCATAAAAATAAACTGGTACAAATAAACAAAGTATTTTTTTATTAAGTTAAAGTATTATAATATAATACCAAAGATTATATTCTATTTTTTAACTGTTAAAGTATAATAAATATTTTTTAAATGGCGCATATCACGATTTAGAGGAATTAATTCGAATGTCTTAGCAAAAAAGATAAGAAACGCTCAATAGAAGTGAATAAATTGATTATTAACATAATTTACATCATGTTAAATGTAAATTATATCATAAATTGGTTTAATTTAACAAAATAGTAAAGTACATAAGTACTTTATAAGTGTTTTATGTTATTTATTATATGAGTCCAGTAATACCGCAAGATTTTAAAGCTTGTTCTTATTAGTGTGCACTTCTGTTTTCACTGTCAGCCGGTTAACTCGGCTAACCCAAAATCTAATGACACACTAATAAGAAACACA